GGCAAGTGAGTGTGGGAGTGATGAACAGTCCACCTATTGTTCATCTCTTTTTACTGTGCATGAGGTGAGCCTGTGGACTTCCTTGCAGTTGCTTGTGTGTGTTCTTTTCCTGTTGGTGTATCACAATTTCCTATCAGGATCGGGAGGTTGATTACAAAGATGAGGATCAGGATTAGCTATTCCTGAGAGTGAGAACGTGTGGACTTCTGTAGCCTGTCCTCTTATTCCGCTATCCCAGCTGCTTAAGGAGTGACCAGGAAGGCCAGCCACCTGGAGGTTGTGCTGCTTTAATTCCTGTCTCCTGAGCTCACGGAGGAGATCACTTGTTGAGCACAACACTCTATTTCTGAGCCTGGATTTCGCTCCAGAATCCTCCTTAACAGTGTTCCCGGCAGCCTCTGTCAGTCAGCCAGATACGCCATAAGATCACGCCTTCTTACCGTCTCTGACTACTAGACCTTACCAACGGCGTCTGGCTATGACAGAAAAATAAAAACTGAGAGATGCAGATACCTCTTACCTACAGGTGAGAAAACCACGGTGGGAGACTGTGGCGCCACTTGTTAAAGGTTCCCTTTCTACTCGCAGCGGAACTGGAATTTACAGGCGTCCTGCCTGCTGGGCCAGCCCCCTTGCTCAGCTCCTCTGAATCCACCCAGGTTTCTTCAAGTCTAAAAGTTTCCCAGCTTCAGAGAGCATCTTTGCTGGATATTTGTCACACCTCCCACACTGAAACTGGGATGGGGGCCAGGTTGGACCGTGAACGTTAAATATGAAACTTGTTCCTAGCCCGCAGGCTCAGGACTCACTGCCGTTAATATCTAGAATTTAATTTAAAAAAAAACCCCCAAACACACCAAAAAACAAACCTCACATCTTCTGGGGAATGCTTAATGAAGAAAGGCTGTCAAATTTGACACTTAAAATCTGCCGGTCACTGGCTGACTGCTGCGACAGCAGGAGAGAGACTGGTGACCACACGAGAAGGCAGTCTTTGCAGACGTCGTTTGGAAAAGCCACGGAACAGATGGATGACTCTACAAGCAGCAACCATGGGGAGAAGGGAGAATCTGATTCCAGAGTCACCGCGTTATAATATTCAAAACGTCCAGTTTTCAAAAATATAAAAGACCTACGAAATAGGAAAGTATGGCCTATTCACAGGGAAAAAGGAGGAATTGAAAGGAACAGTTCTTGAGAAAGACCGGTCACTAGATGTTGGCATGCTGGAACTTAACATCATCACTGAAAGAAAACTTTGTTGGCTGTTACTGGAAATACCATGCTTTCTTTTGGCTTTACATTGTATTGTGAATATTATAAGTATTTTGCCCCTTTCTCCTAGTGGACAACACTGTTAGGGGAAAAATGACCAGTTTGCACTTGAAGAATATTAATATTGAGAAAATTTTACCCATAGATCTGGCCTTAAAAACATACATACTCTCATCATTTTATTAATTTTTTAATGTTTGCACAAATGAATAAAATTAGATAACATTCTCTGTATTTCAAGGTAATCACTTATTAAAGAATTTGAATTTAACACATTGTTCTTGTTTGGAATATAGTTTTTTTGGTATGACAGAAGATAATGCCTTTATCCCATAATCTGTCCCTATTTTTGGCTGTTCAGACATGGCACATTCCTGTTTCCTTGCCCTTCTAATGCTACTGCTGTTGCCAGCAGAATGAGGGTTGTTTCTCCTTTCCTGTTGAGTCACATGAGTCAACACACTCTGTTACCTGGGAGGGTTTGGTCAGAAATCGAAGATTATCTTGAAAGTGAGGAAAGGTTCTTCCCACAGAGACCCAGGGGAATCATTTGGCAATGAACAAACGTTTAGACTGGCGATGGAATTGGCTGTCAACATGTTAAACCTACAGCCAGAATTCCAGGTTACTCCCAGACCAGCTCTAAGTAGTTACAAAAAGCCTAAAAGATTTAGTTGAACATCTGTGTGCCCCAAGTCCATCAGTGAGTGAACTGGCTACTCTCAACAAAGTCTCCTCTTTGGTCCAAAGCAGTGGCAGGAGACCTGTACATTTGAGAACATGAGGCCTTCATTCACACACATGACGGAGCCCTGGCTTGGAACTGAACGCAGGAGGATGTAGCAGAGGCAGGAACAACTTTTAGAAGAGGAGTTTGCTGGTGAGGAAGACGAGCAGGATCTGGATGGCATCTGTGATGGGGCTGAGGAAGATTCTGTTGGCGAAGCTTTTGGTTGTGGTTAGAGTTGAGGTTGCGGTTTTGGCTGTGGTTGGGAATCGGTTTGTCGTTGGGCTTCGGGTTGTGGTCGGCCTGGTCATGGAGGTCATGGAGGTCATGGAAGTCATGGAGGTCATGGAGGGTGATGTTGTGATCATTGCTGGGGAAAAAAAGGACATCAGAACCTACGTTGGAAAATGAGGCTAATCTGATGTGACGCTGGAGCAGAGTTCATGAGCAGAATTCAATCAGCACATCTCAAGGGCCAAGTGTATGTAGTGGAAGGGAAAGCTATGACGCACAGAATGTCATGGAGCGAAAGAACACTATCTACCGCTAAGGTCTATGTAGTCCCACAGGGGAAGGAACTTACATAACTGCTGAATTTGTTGTCGGGTAAGTTGTCGACCCTCAAGTGTCCTTAATATTGTATTAGATCCATCAGTGCAAATATGATCCAGAATGGCACAATTTTATTTTTTGTTGCTAATTTCAATGGTTACATGTAAAGCCTATAAAAACTAGTTACCATCAGACCTGCGGATGGCTACTCCTGCTTTAAAGTAAATGGAAAGAAGTGCTGTCCAAACCCCTGAACCTCCTTCTGTGGTTGCTGAGGCACCGGCCATTCCCTGTGCAGGGATCTGACCACACACTGGTTCTCTGACGTTGCCTTGCTGAGAAGCAGAAAAAGCCAGGCCTGTAGCCCTGGGGGTGGGGAGAATGGGATGTCTGATCCTGGAAAAACTAGAGTTTGGCAATGATACCTGCAAAGGTCTGAGTGGACCACAGAGGGGACTATAGAGAAGAAGGGACAGCCCGACCTGCGCTGCTCAGTCGTAGAGGTCATGGTTGGATTCCTAGTCAGGGCGCATGCTCCGGTTGTGGGCTTGATTCCCCAGTGAAGGGCATGCAGGAGTCAGACAATCAATGACTCTCTCTCATCATTGATGTTTCTCTCTCTCTCTCCCCCTCTCCCTTCCTCTCTGAAATCAATAAAAATACATTAAAACAATAAAGAAGAAGACGGGACATGCCCAGTGACTTGCTTAGGCCCATGCATTCTTCTGCTACCTAGAGGGGCCTGTGAGTCTGTGGCCTTGTCTTATCTCACTTAGTATTTACCCAGGGCACATGTTTCTCCAGCATCTCACTGAGCCAGAAAGTCTGACACAACCACTTTATTTTTTTTTAACTGGATTTTATTAGCGTGGAGATAAGGAGTCCTGACTAGAAACACACTTTTTTTCTCTCCTTCTTAGCATTTACACTCATACTCATCTCAAAAATGTCCTCGAGGAAGAAAATAACACCCAGTCTTCTCACAGAGGGGAAACCACCAGGGCAACAGGTAAGGCTTTCACATAGTAGTTTGTTAGGCATAATCACATCAAAACTTGTTTTGAAAATGGATATCCCTTTGGCCGCATTTGCAGCATATGACGGGTGAGTAACCAGCAGGGGGACCCCGAGGAAGACTCGTTATCTGGACACTAGAGAGGCTGGTGGTCCTTGTTCTTAGTTGAACCTTGTATTTAAAAGCTTCATTTAAAAAAGGGATTGTCTTTATAGTTTCGATGTAAGTCTAAGAAAAGTGTAAAAAGTATGAGGTGGGATATGAGCCCTGGTTTTTCCATTTACTTTCTGAACCTCAATTTCTTGAATTTGTTTTAGCTCCCTAGAGGGGAGTGAGAGAACGCAGGGGACAGAGAGGGGGAAGGAGGGCGAAAAGCCTCAGGATGGTTTGAGGTTGAGGACCACATCCTGTGGAAGGGCAGTGGAAATTCCTGGTGGTAGTGGTGGTGGCCAAGGCCATTCTGAGAATGAATGATGTTTCTTATTCTGATGCTGTCAACCTGTTTTTGTGCACATCTGCCCCCTCATTCCTGTAAAGCCTGTAGAGCTGTGAAGGTTTTATGTGAGTGGGAAGTCTTGGTGGAAACTAAGGAAGGGGCTGACCACGTGGGGTCTACGTGGTGCTGAGCAGGAATGGGTCCCGAGGAAGCAGGATTCTGCAGTCACAGGTGACTCTGAGAACATAAGGCCCCTAGGCATTGGCAGGAATCTTGGGGATGGCTTTTGTTTTCTATGGGGCAGAGGAAAAAGGGTTGAGCCAATCTTATGTGGGTCTCAAGGTGCTAGAAGGCTCAACTGATATCTGGGTAACACACGACTAGAAGACTTTTCCAGGGCCCCACAAAGTAACTTTCATGCTGACTGTGTTCACTGCCTGATATGTAAAGGGACTGCAAAGGAACTTACCTTGGTTTTCCAGTTTCAGAGAAGAAAACATGGCCACTCTGTTGACATTGATAACAAAGGCTCTGTGGAAGGCAAATCAATGAAAGATAATGGTGAGGACCTCAGCCGTGGAGTCCAAAGTTCAGCTCACATTTCTGCCTTCCCAGATGACCCCCAACCTCTTAATTCCTTTTGTGCTTACTTTCCCTACAGATCATTGAATACTGGTCTGCTCTGTATTGTCTTTTTTTCTTTTAATTAAAAATTGATTGATTGATTGATTGATTTGAGAGAGAGTGATAGAAACATTGACTTCTTGTTCCACCTATCGATGCATTCATTGGTTGCCTTCTGTATGTAGCCTGACCTTGTCCTATCCGGATGACCTTCTAACTAACTGAGCTACTTGGCCAGGGCCTCTGTATTGTCTTAACTAAGATCCATGTTCTTGCTTCAGAGAAGATCATGTCTACCCCCCGCCCCCCAACCCAACCAACTTCACCCCCCTAAACTCCCCATAGGCTGGTATAACCTTTAGTCTTTGTTCAAGCCAGTCCTTCTGCCTGTGATGTCCATCCAGACCATGTCTGCCCACGGATGTAGCAGTAACTCTATGAAGCTGTTTTCCCTGTTACCCTTAACCCAGACAGATCTCCAACAGAGGGACGGGCCCTCTATGCATTGTCCTGCTGTGAGCCTCTCCCCCCACTAGAGGGCCAGCTCTTTGAGAGCAGGTTCTGTTGTCAACAATGATTGACACATAGTAAGTGCTTAATGTTCATGAAATGATCTGTAGAGCTTGGTCTGTTGTTCTTCTATTAGTGGGTCCATTATTATATCAGCCTCTTGTTCACACATTCGACAATTAATTAATGAGAGTGTACAACATGCCATCACTGTGCATGGTGCCGAGGGGCAGTAGTGAATCAGTTAAGCATGGTCTTACCCTTGTGGCACTTAGAGTCCCTTCAGAGAGACAGATTTTAAATGAATAATCAACTAACAGATTAAGTAATTGATCACAGTGGTGACATGTGCTCTGACAAAGTAGTGGAAGTTGAGAGAGTGGAAACGGCTCTGGAACTTATCCGGGAGCTTAGGGATGCTTTCTTGAGCAAGTGATGTTTAACCCCAGTAATCACTTCTGTACAGGCCTTGCCTCACCAAACCTCACTGTAAGCAAAGCTCCTGGCCAGGGACCTCTTCTATTGCAGAGTGTCACTGCTTTGTCTTTTATCTGTTGTTGCATGGACCTCTTCCCTTCGCTTCTGTGCCCTGCCCAGCACAGTGGACCCCTCACAGGGCTGTGCTGCTCCCCTCTCTTTGTCCGCTTTGCTGATCGAGGCCCCATGTGTACATTGCCAACAAGCAGCAAAGCCAGTGCATCCCAGCCGCGCGAGTCAGGAAGGTCTGGAGACCGCACTGTCAGCGGGAATGTGCTGCTTCTATTGCACAGTGTCACTGCTTTGTCTTTTATCTGTTGTTGCATGGAGTTCGGAGGCTTTAGCGAGGAGAGATGAAGGGACCATTGTCTTAATTAGCCTGGCCTGGCCTCTAAGGGACTGCGCTCGGGCAAGGCTGGATTGTCGGAGCTCCTTCAGGATTCTACTCCTGCAAGTAGCTCTGTGGGAGCCAGCGAGGTCCAAGGGCAGGGCAGGTGAGGTGGGATGGCAGGTGAGGTGGGATGGCAGGTGAGGTGGGATGGCAGGTGAGGTGGGATGGCAGGTGAGGTGGGATGGCAGGTGAGGTGGGATGGCAGGTGAGGTGGGATGGCAGGTGAGGTGGGATGGCAGGTGAGGTGGGATGGCAGGTGAGGTGGGATGGCAGGTGAGGTGGGATGGCAGGTGAGGTGGGATGGCAGGTGAGGTGGGATGGCAGGTGAGGTGGGATGGCAGGTGAGGTGGGATGGCAGGTGAGGTGGGATGGCAGGTGAGGTGGGATGGCAGGTGAGGTGGGATGGCAGGTGAGGTGGGATGGCAGGTGAGGTGGGATGGCAGGTGAGGTGGGATGGCAGGTGAGGTGGGATGGCAGGTGAGGTGGGATGGCAGGTGAGGTGGGATGGCAGGTGAGGTGGGATGGCAGGTGAGGTGGGATGGCAGGTGAGGTGGGATGGCAGGTGAGGTGGGATGGTGGCAGGTGAGGTGGGATGGCGTGGTAGCATCCTCACCACCATGCCCATGGAGCCTCGGTGGCTGTTCACACTGGACACGACCTGCTGGACAGACTTGTCCTTTCAGCACAGAATGGCAGTCCAGGACCGCCCAGACTCTCAGCACTGGGTTTCTGAAGTGAGCTTGGTAGCCATCCCTGGCTGCGAGGAAGGTTTTTGTTAACACACCTCCGGTTGGCGCACCTCCGAAGGAGCCTGTGCCCATTCTGTGTGACACTAGGAGGCGAGTTATTACACAATCAGCACACTTTCTGTTAGAAGCCATTTCTAAAATGAATCTGTGTTTTGAAAAATGACCCTCCAGTTTGAGTATAGAGAATCTGAAGCAAACAGGGTGCCAGTGACAGAGATTCTCTGCTTGCCTTCCTTCACTCAGGCTCCAGCGCCTCCTCCTGGCCCATCTCTGCACTTGCTTGTAAAATCCAGCTTTATCAAGAAGGCTGCTAAGTCTGTTTAGCAAGAACCTCTTACCTAGATATCTGATAACCCTCAATGTCTGATTGAGTTCCTCATTTGCTGCCATCCCCACATGATATCTGATCACCTGGGCTTGCCTTCAGCAACAATCCTGTTAGGCCAGTTTAGCCAGAATCCCCCTATAGGCCTTGATGTTTCCTCTCAGGAACTTTCCATCCACTGACCCCTCTCTGCTGTAAATTTCCACTTGCTCATGTTGTATTCAGAATTGAGCCTGGTTCTATACTGAGGTCTCTTTTCTCCTATTGCAGTAGTCCTGAATAAAATCTTTACTTTATTTATATATGTATTATGTATGTATGTATGTATGTATGTATGTATTCATTCATTCATTTTGCTTTAACCACTGTCCAGCTCTGGTTTTCTTTACCACCAGTTCTTTCTATTTATGTTGAGCACTGGTGTGTGTGTGTGAACTATAGATAAAAGTAGGACAAAGAATGGTAAGGCAGAAAAGGAGTGCAAGTACTGACTTCTCCACATCATCTCTGTATTGTATTTTGTGTCCTTCAAGATCATTGACTTAACTGTAAAACTGCATAAACCTAACATTAAACTGTAAAAGCCCAAGCAAATCATATATAGGTAGGTTCTTACTGTATCTCCACTGTAATGTTCGTGAAACGAGGAGATTGCCAGTTGGCCTTGAAGAAACCTTCACGTGTGTCCAGACGCTGATAGAGGACGCTGCCGTTGCAATACTGGTCTGCTCTTTGCCAGAGGCCTATTGAGCTGTTGTTGTTTGTGTCCATCGCTCGCAGGACCACTGAGTTGGTGCTGCTGTCCACAGGCACCGATACTGAGAAGAAATGATAAGGAGACAATCAGCCATCTATGTAGTAAGACAAGGGATGAGGGTCATGAAATCAAAATTAACTGTGAAAAAAGAAAGTTACAAATAGCATGTACATGTATATTTTTGTAAAAGAAGTTGAAAAACATCTGGAAGGAAAGCCTTCGAGATATTAACTGTGGTCATTTCTGGGTAGTGGGATTACAGATGATTTTATTTGTGTTTTCTAAATTTTCCATGGCCAAAAGCTAGACAAAAGGAGAGTTTTGCTACCTTCCAGGGGTGAGATTCGAGGCAGGCTCCTAATTTCTGGAGCCTGGTTCTCATCTGGGAGATGAGGGATAAAGATGCTCTGTCCTTCTTTCAGGGGAGTGGGATGTGGGCAGAGCAGGGTTGGTGCATGTGACTGGGTCATGTGGGCCCCAGGAAGTGTTCCTGGAAAATCAGGAATGTTATTCCAAATTAGAGCAGAGCCCACTTCCTGGTCTCAGACATGCCGAAGCTCTCGGTGTCTGTTGATGAGGGTGAGGGAGGGGCCCTCTGAGGCCCTGGGGCCCTAATCCAGGCACCTGTTAAATGACCCCTCAGCTTCCCTAACTTTCACTCAGGTGAATCTCTTATGACCTAGCTTAGCATGCATTCACAGGAGACCCCACTGACACTTGTTAATTCCAGCATTCTGATGTGTAATGGGGAGAGAGTTTCAAGAGAACATTTCGGTGGGTTCGTTTTCTCCCTTAGAAGGTCCCTTCTGAATGAATTCCTCAACGCTAAGGTGTTCTCCAGGGCCCTTTCAGACATCAAGAATTCCTTCAAGGACTTCTCCTTCACAAACCAAAGAAAATGGGTCAGGTAGCACAATAGGATGCGACAGTGCTGGTTCTGAATTCCAGCTCTAACAAGTCATTTCACCTCTGAGACTCAGTTCTCTTATTCTTCATTATTCACTCCATAAATATTTGTTGAATTCCTACTTTGCACAAGCCTGGTTCTAGGTCTGGAGATAAAGACATTATCCTTTATTATATGGAGATCATGACATCTTATTTTGAAAGGTTCCTGGGAGGAGCCCGGCTGGCGTGGCTCAGTGGTTGAGCATCAACCTATGAACCAGGAGGTCATGGTTCAATTCCTGATCAGGGCACAAGCCTGGGTTGCAGGCTCAATTCCCAGTAGGGGCCATGCAGGAGGCAGCCAATCAATTACTCTCTCTCATCAATGATGTTTCTATCTCTCTATTCCTCTCCCTACCTCTCTGAAATAAATAAAAATTTAAAAAAAAAAGTTTTAAGAAAATGCTCAAAATAAGCCCTTTTCTATCTTTTGGGTCTTAGCAAAACATACTACAGATTATATTAAACTACAGCTTCAGTAAACAGCTAATGGCTGTACCCTTTCCACCTTCCCTTTGCTTTCAGAGTTTTAGAAGCCATAACTCGTATTTCTGTAAAGAGTTGACACACTTCACCCTGAAAAGTCTCTCAGCATCACATATTCCTCACTCCACTTTCTCCTCCACATTCAGCCATTTATTCAGGCTGTGGCCAGATCAGACTTCCACACACAACACTCCCATCTGGAGACACTCTTCTCCAAAGCCATCAAACCTTCAAAGTGCCCAGAGCACGAAACATTCTGCTTCTGTTCTGTCGGGTACAGTGCCCAGCACGTAGCTTTCATGACCTCATAACCTAGCTCCCCCTGCTATTTGCACCCCCCTCTCGGGGCAGCCAGTCTTCCTCTGGTTCCACAGACACACGTGACTCACGCCTGCTCCTGGTCTCTGTTCACGTCTGTCTGCCTGTGTGGAATCCTTACTTCGTTTTCATCACATATTTCACTCCCATTTACTCTCTAAGATCCTGCTATGTCCCACCTCCGGGCCAATTCACCCTTCTTTCCCTCTCGCACCTGAAACACTTTATTTTTTTTTAACTTAATTACATTCTGGCTTAATTACATACGGTGGTTTCCTCTGTGTCAGTATCTGGCCAGCCCAGTGCTGGGCACCTGGAGGGCAGTAAATAACTTCTAACTGATTGATTTAGCAAGCTGTGCATCCCATGTTGTACAGTCAGTGCCCTTAAAGCTGAAGATGCAGGAATAAAGGCAGGCAGGTTACATCCCTCTTGCCCACAGAAGTAAAAAATGGAGGCAGATGCTGACCTGGTCCAGTCTTAACATAAATGTCACTGCTTTATGGGTTTCCTTCAATGACATGGAGACAGACCCAGGGAACTTGTTCTAAGATACTGCCTGAGCTGTCACTGTGTCTTGGGACCTGTCAAGCCATTTGTACATGACTAACCAGTGTTGACACAAACCTTGAAATTTAGAAAATTTCAAATTCAAAATAATAAGAAGTTGGCTTGTGTGGGCATTTACTCAGTCTCACCAGCTGTCTCACAGTGACACTCTACGAGGAAATCCGGAGACTGTGGTGTAACCCAGGTGTGCAATCGGGCACTTCACACCTCTTGAGGGCACAGGATTTTGACTCAACTTAAATCATTCCTACAGTGAGTCAGTCAGTGCATCACGGAACTACAGCACATTGTGGTGAAATAGGTGAGGCTGGGGACGGACACGGCATGTGGTAGGCATTTAACGAACCTGAGACCCCTTCTCCTTCCCCTTTCCCCTACTCTGCCCACTGCCGCTGTAGATGCCGGGATTTCCCTTTCAGCCAGCATGGTCCCTTCCAAGGGGCCTTTCCTTTGTAAGGCATCTTACTGATCACCTTTTGGCTCTTCTTCCTCCTGTCTTCCTACCTTCAGAAGGCTCTCTGCACCCCAACCTTCACAAGGTAGGTTCCTATTTCTTCCATTTTAACAGCAAAATCCTTCACCTTGTGATGTGTTATTTCAAGTTAGTAGTCCCTCTGGCCCCCCAGGTCCTTTCCCACATACAAGGTCAGACACGTGCCCTCCTTATTTTCATGTTGGATTACAAGATGGTCCTCCCTGCCTGTGGGACAAGATCCACTGCCTGAACGAGTAGGACGTAGTGAGCCTTATCACAACTGAGGCGTTTATGGTGACAGTCCCCGTGAAAAAATAGGTAAAAGCACAAGCTGGCATGGGCATGCGAAGGCAGGCTATAGGCATCTTCCTGCTGACGCCCGGAATCTGTGGACCATGGTATTCTTTCAAAATGTGGTTAGAGTTCTAAGAGAGGCAGGAGAACTCAGTAGATGAGGACAGGCTCTGAAGCTGGATAGCTTGGCTGCGCAAAGCTGCGCTGTTATTTAGGTTCAAATATTAGCTATGTTACTAGTGATCTTGGGTAAAACTTTAACTTACCTGCCTCAGTTCTCATCTGTAAAATGGGAAGATAACAGTATTGGCCCTTAGAATAGTACCCACTGCATAGTAAGAAGTATCAGTTCTTATTACTATAACTGAAAGGCATATGTGTAGTGGTTAGGGTAGAGTCTCTGACTGCTCAGGTTCATGTCCCAACTTCACCACTCAAGTAGCTCTGTGACCTGAGCAAGTCACTAGCATTTCTACCTCTGTCTCCTCATCTACAAAACAGGAACGACAGTGGCCTCTACCTAATAGGTTATGGGGGCTACATGAACTAATACATGTAAGCCACTATATTAAATGTTGCTATAAAAGTAATTAGACAGCACTTGCCTGACTTGTAGGTTTGGCTGATCCCAAAAGGGATATTTGTAAAATATTACTAGGCACTTCTAAGAAAAGCATTGGATTAGGAACGAAAAGAACAAGATTCAACAGTCAGTTCTGCCACTAGCAGTGAGACCCCGAGCAAGTCATTTAACTCTCAGCTTCAGGCTCCTCAGAGAGAAGGCGGGAGAGCAGTACGTTCCCTGTCTAGCGAACTGGGCTTTTCACATGTGGACTAAATGAGAACAGCGCCTCCTGGAGTTGTGCAGTACACAGTCATCCACAGGGGCACTGTTTCATCAAGTGGATGTGAAAAGATAACTGTGATGCAATCTGTATCGCTTAACATAATAAACATGCCGACTTTAAGTCAGAACTTGCCATGGGCGTGCTCTTGCCGGAGCTCAGTTGGCGTTGGAACTTAATGGCTCCTTGCTGCTCAGCTTGGCACAGGGAACATGCAGAAGCATCCCCACCCAACCCACTCTCTCCCATGTTCTCATTCTTTCTGCCCCCACTTCCCATCCTGGTCAAAAATGCATATTTTGTGTAGTTGAGAGCAGAGATGGAGAGTTATGTTCTGAAATTCTGGTAGACTGCCCTTAGAGAAAAAAAGACAACAGAGAGAAAGGCTCTTACTTACTTGTGTAGATTCTGTTGCTTTCATAGATATTTGAATTGATCTTGATGCCTGGACCGGTGGTGGGGAAGACTGTGCTGAAGGACATGCATCTGTCAGGGTAGTCTGCAGAGCTGGCAGAAATGAGCAGCATGCCGAAGCACAGGGACAGCAGTGTGGAGCCCAGGACTGCCATGGTCGAGATCTGTCTGGAAACTGCTGGGCCTGGAGCTGCGTAAGACCTCACCTATTTATATGCTTCAGGGCTGGAGTTTCTGGGTGAGGTCATACATGCAAATTCCCCTCTCACCGCTCCCTAAAGTCAACTGGCTTCTAGAATTTGTCACCATGATCCTTTATCAATTCCAGTTTTGCTCAAGAAAGGGAATGTACTGACCATGAATTTACTTTGCATCTCATTCACCTCAGTACCTTGAAGAAAGCTGCCGAGAAAGGTTTAGTGCTGGCAAAGTGAAATTAGGGATGAGTAATCATCACATATCTCAGAAGTTCCACTCTTCCTCCAGTAGGAAACTCAGGCACAAAAGCCATCTTTTCTGGAATGTTGCATATCCATTTTCAACTCTCTTTAATTGAACATGTCTTCAATCCCAGTTCATTTTGTGACTAGCATACAACTAAAAACATTGTGTTTCTGGATTTATTAATTCATTTGGAAAGAAACAATGTTGGCCCATGTTGCTCCTAACACTTTCATCCATAGCACCACAGAACAAGGCAACTACTAAAAAAATAAAATCAGAAAACCTGTTTTTTCATATTTCTCTTTTGATGGTTAGAACCGGTAAAAAAAAAAAAGTATCAGTAAACTTGAGGATATTAAAATATATTTAACAAAAGACACGCAAGACTTAGACACTGAAAACTATAACAAGGGACCCAGGATAGCCAAAATGATCTTAAAAAAACCCAATAAATAGGTTGGAAGACTCACACTTACCAATTTCAAAACTTACTACAAAGCTATCATAATCAAGACAGTGTGGTATTGGCATAAGGGTAGATGTATAGATTAATGTAATAGAGTTTGAGAGCTCAGAAATAAACCCATACATTTGTTTATTATTATTATTATTTTTTTGTTGTTGTTTTCAGATTGGGCTATATTTCACCTAGTGAGTGTTACAATGTCTCTTTTATGTCAAGGTAAAATAATAGTAAGAAATAGTGATCCGTTGATTAAAAAAACCAAGAGCCACAGCATTTACCCACTGATAGTAACATTGAAAACAGCTGTATTTTAGTACATGCAAAGAGCAGAGATGGTGCTAAGAATTGAACTTATATCATCTTACTTAATTTTCACATCCCTCTCCAGGCCAAATGGTAGGTACTGTGGTATTATCCACATTTCAATGAGGAAGAAATGAAACTTGGGAAATTTAAATAACTTGTCAAGGTCACAGATCTAGAAAATGGACAGAGAAAGGACTTAAACACCAATCCTTCAGAATCCAGTGGTTATGCCTCCTAGTTAGACCAAATTTTTTTCTTTCTTATAAAAAATTCTCTATAGTTGAAAGTATGACATACTAGTACAGTGATGGCGAACCTTTTGAGCTTGGCGTGTCAGCATTTTGAAAAACCCTTACTTAACTCTGGTGCCGTGTCACATATAGAAATTTTTTTATATTTGCAACCATAGTAAAACAAAGATGTATATTTTTGATATTTATTTTATATATTTAAATGCCATTTAACAAAGAAAAATCAACCAAAAAAATGAGTTCGCGTGTCACCTCTGACACGCGTGTCATAGGTTCGCCATCACTGTGCTAGTATGTCCCCTTTTATATCCACTGTCCTCTCCCAGCCCACCCCTGCCTCCCAACCCAAGCCTTCACCCCACTATTGTCTGTGTCCATTGGCTATGTCCATCTGCATAGAAGTCTTTTAAACCCATACAGTTATGATAAATTGAATTTTCACAAGGGTGCCAGGACAATTTGATGGGGGAAAAACAGTCTTGCAACAAATGGTGCTGTGGCAACTGGATATCCACATACAAAAGAATGACATTGGATCTCCACCTCACACCATATGAACTCAACATGGATCAAGGACCTAAATGTAAGAATTTAAACTATAAACTCTTAGAAGAAAATATAGCTATAAATTTTCATGGCCTTGGATTAGGCAACAGTTTAATAGATATAATGCCTAAAGCAAAAGCACCCAAGGGAAAAAATAGATAAGTTGGATTTCATCAATACTAAAAGCTTTTGTTCTTCAAAGGACACTACAAGAAAGTGGAGACAACCCAAACAATGGAAAAAATATTTTCAAATCATATATTTGATTAGGACCTAGTATCTAGAATATATAAAGAATACTTACAACTCAACAATTAAAAGATAAATATCCCAAGAGAAACAAAGAAAAAATAAGCAAATGTGACTACTTCAAATTAAAAAACTTTAGAAACAGGCAAATGATTTGAATACTTGTCCAGAGAAGACATATAAATGGCCAATATATACATGAAAAGATGCTCAACATCATTAGTCATTAGGAAAATGTAAGTCAAAATTACAGAGATACCAACCACAGCCTCCTGGGAGCTATGCTAGAAATGACAGGACATGGTGAAATTGGAATCCTCATGGACTGCTGGTGGGAATGTATAATAATTAGGCCACTTTGGAAAACAGTTTGTCATTTCTTTAAAAAAAATTAACTATAGAGTTACTATTATATGGCAACTCCACTCCTAGGTGTATATATACTCAAGAGAATTAAAAACACACGCCCACACAAAAACTTGTACATAAATGTTTTAGGAGCATTATTCATAATAGTCAAGAAGTGGAAACAACCCAAATATCCAACTTCTGCATAGATAAAAAAGTGTGGCATTTCCATCCAATGGAAATTATTCAACTAGAGAAAGGAATGAAGTGCTATAGCTGCTACAACATGGATGAACCTTGAAAACAAGCTAAGCAAAGAAGCCAGACACAAAAGGCTACATGTTATATGATTCATTTATATGAAATCTCCAGAATAGGAACATTTGTAGACAGAAAATGGTTGCCAGGGTAAAGGGAGAATGGGAAGTGACTGCTACTTGGTTTGGGGTTTCTTTTTGGTGTGATGGGAATGTTCTGGAATTATTTAGTAGTGATAGTTTCATAATCTTGTGAATATACTGAAAACACTGAATTGAATCTTATGGTTTGTGAATTATATTTCACGAAAAAAGTTTCTTACATAAGGTTCTGTGTAGGCAAGTTGGGATAGTAGAAAGAATGCAGCAGAACTTGAGAATTACTAGTAGATCTGGCTTAGAATCCAGGCTTTGGGAGCGTTTTAACCTATCTGAACTCTAGTTTCCACTTCTGAAAATTGGGGCATTAACAGCAATCTTACATTGTTTTATGTATATTAAGTGAGAAATATTTGTTAGCTGGTTTGGGGGATGGGGTGGGTTGGACATATAGTAGGTTTATAACACATGTTAATTAATTTTTTCCTTCTATCCTTTCCTCCTTACCTTTCTCCCTTCCTTCCTTTCTTAGTTTGTACCAGGTTCTAATAGAATCCTGAGGTCAATGACCACTGGTGGATCCAGGGATCCAGGTGTCAAAGGTGTGAGGGTTGCAACATGGCCTCCATGGGGACAAGTACACGGGCTTTAGCAGGGAGAAGCCTCTGTCTGAATCCCACCCCTCATGCTGTGACCTGGACTGTGCTTAACTAGTCTGAGCCTCAGTTTTTGTATTCATCTTAAAAAAGTAATAATGCCAGCATTGCGGGATTGTGTCCAGGTTTAAGTGATAACGCAGGTGACAGTAATTGGTGGTTCCTACCCACCAACGGTGGGACGCGGTGCAACTCTAGGAGGACGGGCCTGGAGAGTGTTCACGTTCATTCGTTTGCCCAGAGTGGATTCTTAAGTCAACATGTGTGGATTTCGGGACTGACTAGGTTGTACCCTTCAGCTCTGCGGTTCAGAGCTGAACCTTAATGTGGATCCTTATGTTTTAGAGGATAATCTAGTGGTCAGCTTTTTAGAAGATGTGCATCGTCCTTCTCATTCCCTGAGGTCTTATACATTCTCAGAGAGATAACATGCTATTGCATGTGTAAGAGTTTTCAAGTTGAACTGGCCCTAAGAGATCATTTTAAATGGAACTGAACACAGAAAGATTAAACTTGCCTAAGGCTATAGACCAGTGGTTCTCAACCTTCTGGCTCTTTAAATACAGTTCCTCATGTTGTGACCCAACCATAAAATTATTTTCGTTGCTACTTTATAACTGTAATGTTGCTACTGTTATGAATCGTAATGTAAATATCTGATATGCAGGATGGTCTTAGGCGACCCCTGTGAAAGGGTCATTCGACCGCCAAAGGGGTCGCGACCCACAGGTTGAGAACCGCTGCTATAGACCCACTTAGTGGCATGTGCAGGGCTAGCCCCTACCTCCCGCCTCCTGCCTCCTGGCTGGGTATGTCCTCCACTGTACAGTTCTACTATTTAGTTAATACACACCAGCTCGACGTAGCATTTTATTTTATTATTTATTATTATTTTGTTTTCAACGTAGTATTTTAGATTCAAGTGAGTCAAAGTCAAGATATGGTACATGTTAATTTTAATAGGCCATATGTATACTTCATAGTACATTTGGGACTCTTGCCTAGTCAATATGCATTTTATAGAACGTGGGGAGAAGTTTACTATCGCAATAGTTATATCTTTGCTCAGGACTTTTTGCTGATCGTGTCTGTGACTGCATTGGATCCTAAATTGTGTCAGGGCCACAGTCAGGATGGCACAGTGCTTCGCCCCCAGGGCCTTGTTTGAATGCAGTGGTCAGTGGGCTTGGCCTGGGGGCACTGAGTGAGCTGCTCGGGGGTCCACAGCTTTAGGGAAGAACAACCCCTGCTTTACAGGCCATTGTTACCAGACTCCAGCCTGTGAGAGTCTTCATCAACCGCTCACAGGTCTGCATGGAATGAGAACAAATGGAGAGATTCTAAAAAAGAAAGCAAACATTTATCCAGTTTAAATGCCTGCCTTTTATTCTGATAGTACAGCTTTTTGAAAATTTATTTGTAACATATCCTTTCTATTAGGAAGTTATGGTCATTGTAGATTATAGATAGTAGATTCCTCCCAGCTGTTAATTTTTTAATGTCATCATTTGGGAAAACGAAACACTGACACCCTCTGGTTTACTTTCTATCCAAACTCCTAGAAACGCCTTGCGTGGTGTGGCAGGAAGCAGGGTTTGCTAGTGGTTAAGTAGAGCTGGAGAGCTGACGCAGGAAGCCAGTTCAAGACCCCTTCATAATTGAGTGGGAGGTTGGATCTCTTAGCTCTCCTTCCAAAGTTAGCATCCATGGTCCCCCGCAAATTGGAAATTGATTCCATTCATTTTTAGGCAGAAACAAAAGTGTTGAAGGCACTTGGGGGTTTAGCAGAGAGTATTAGTAGGTGAGGAAGGGAAGTCAGGGTTCAGAGCTTCCCAATCCCCACATAGAAGAGGAACTAGAAAAGGCACCCTGAGCAGAGGGAGGAGGGAGGTTGGACACCCTCTTCATGGGACCAGCCAGCCTGGGTTCCTTCCTGGAGAGGCAAGCACTCCCTGCCTGAGTGGAAGTGCATTGCAGGTGCCCGAGGAGAGCATAGCAAGCCTGGTCACTTACCTCTGCAAAGAGTGGCTCTCCTTAGTTCCTGTTAGCTACACTCTAAAATTTCTTTGGAGGACATACTATTTGATCAAGCCATTCAAATGCATTGTCCCTACCATTTAACCAGACAATTCAACAGTGAACAAATATGGTGCAGTTTAACTAGCTGGGCGTGAATGGGAACTCCTAGGATTAGTGGCTATCAGTGTGTGCTCTGACCAGAATGTGATGGAGACACCGCTCTACGGACAAAGTCAAGGAAATTGCCACTCATGGGAATTCCCTTACATCCAATTCTTAAAGTGTATTGGTTTTCTAATGTCCTGCCTTAGTCACATGGGTCTTCAGGTAGCTTCCAGAAGTACAGGAGTTGGAAAGTAAGACATTAAGGATATAGGGAAAATAAGGATAGAAAGACTAAGGCAGCGGTTCTCAACCTGTGGGTCGCGACCCCTTTGGGGATCGAACGACCCTTTCACAGGGGTCGCCTAAGACCATCGGAAAACACATATATAATTACATACTGTTTTTGTGATGAATCACTATGCTTTAATTATGTTCAACTTGTAACAATGAAATTGGGGGTCACCACAACACGAGGAACTGTATTAAAGGGTCGCGGCGTTAGGAAGGTCGAGAACCACTGGACTAAGGTAAGATGAGGGCAGCAGGTTCATTATTTCAGAAATGTTTGTTGAGTGTCTCTGCGGGTTTGGTACTGCTGTGGGCATGGGGAGGAGGAGACCAACCCCTGACGCCATGGGGCCATGACGTGCTACTGTAGTGAACACTTTCCCGGGGTGATCTAATATGTTACAGCAAGGCTACAAACACAAACTGAATCCAGCCCATGCCTTTCCCTTTTCAGTATCATTCCATTAGTTGAGTCACAGGAACATCCTTCAATTCATGTAATTCCCTTAAATGCTACTCACTTTAGCCTTCAGTTGCAAACTATGATTTTTTTCCCTTTGTACTGATCTGACACTATGTAGTAGCACTTAAATATCATTACTGTATACAACAGCATCTTATCATTCCTAAAAATAAAACAAATGACAGCGCCTACTCTCCTGGTGACAAGTAGGCTTTAGTCCTGGCCTTGTGTACAAATTTTGTCACTAATGTAACTTGTTATTGATATGTCAACTTCTGAATTATTTGAGGTGCTCTTTCCTAAATTTGAAAAGCACCGACTTGTGCCTCATTCTATGAACATATCCTTCATTTGAGGATTATCACTTCAAAGATTAAAAAAAGAAAACAACATGAGAAGCCCATTTTTAAATGGTCATTGAAATTAAAACATAAAATCTAAAAATTCCTAATGGGACTTGTGGATCCTAAGAATACAATAGATGCCATTTGGAGATATACTGATTTAGTTATAAGTTATTAGTTATTAGTGATTAATATACAATTAGTGTATTTAAAGAACTGGTTCAAATATTACTGTTTTGTTTTTGGCATTAATAAAGTTATGGGAAAGATAGTATAGTACTTATGTCATGAATAAGTACTTAAAAAATTACAATATGTACTTTCAAGCCAGAGATTCTGATCAGTCCTTGTGCAGTGGGGCCCAGACATCGGCATTTTGAAGGCTCTGCAGGTCTTCTCAGGGGCAGCCAGGGGTGAGAACTGCTCTGCTGGACGGGGTGGAGAAAACAAAACCCAGTCAGACATTTACGATGCTCTCAAAGGCCTGGGACAAGTGAGGACAGGAAAAGGGGAGACTATTTCTGAGCCCTGTAGAGCCCAACCTTGCTAGATAGGTGCTTTCTAGCTGTATTTACTTCTCACAACAATCCTGAGCTGGGCACTGCCACCCATTGTACAGAACCTGAGGCCCAGTGACATGAAGTAGAGAAATTGAGATTTATGTCTGCTCCCTGCTGTTAACAGCAATGATTTTAGGCCTATGAGCTGGGATTTGAACCCAGTCCTATCCTGTATTGGCCATGGGCTACCTCCAGCCTATGACATAGTCCTACAAAAACTCTATAGGCAGGAAGTGATTGGTTCAGGCAGAACAGGAACATTATCTTGATTTCCTGCTATTGGTGCCCTGGGGCTTTGACTTTATAAGTAGTTTCAGGATCTCTCATATTTATTAACTATCTCTCTCTAGATAAAAGCCCAGTGACCGAATGGTGGAATGACCGGAACGACCGGTCACTGTGATGCACACTGCGGCGGCCAACAGGCCCAATCAGGCCCCAATCAGCCCCACCCAACTTCCTGTGGCCCCTCTTCCAGGCTGGCCCTGCCCCCAGTTGGGCCCCCCACCCCATGGCCAACAGGCCCAATCAGGCCCCAATCAGCCCCGCCCAACTTCCCGTGGCCCCTCTCCCAGGCTGGCCCTGCCCCCAGTTGGGCCCCCCACCCCATTGGGGGTGGGCCAGCCGGCCAACTGCCTGCAGCCTTTCTCCCCCTGCTGGCCCCACCCCCAATCGGCCCCCATCGGGGTGTGCCAGCTGGACCCCACGAATTTGTACACCAGGCTTCTAGTAAGTAATAAGAGTGCTGTTCTATTGTAAGTAGAAATAAGCTTTCTTGCTGTTTTACTTTCAGGAAATAAGCACTATTAGTTTTACTTGGTTACTCTAGAGCTGTGGTCAGCAAACTGTGGCTCGCGAGCCACATGTGGCTCTTTGGCCCCTTGAGTGTGGCTCTTCCACAAAATACCACGTGCAGGCGCGCACGTACAGTGCGATTGAAACTTCGTGGCCCGTGTGCAGAAGTTGGTTTTCGGCCTGGGCGAGTCTATTTTGAAGAAGTACTGTTGATATTTGGCTCTCTTGACTAATGAGTTTGCTGACCACTGCTAGAGCAATAGATCCCAAATGAGGGTGATTGGCTACCCAGGGATGTCTGGAGGAATTTTTGACTGTCACACTGGTGGGGGTTCAGTAGTGAGTAGAGACAAGGGGTCAAACACCCTACAAGGCATAGGACTGCCCCTGCAACACAGAATTATCCAGCCCCAAATGTCTATGGGGCCGAGGTTGTCAAACCCTGCTCTAGAGGAAAGGAATTGAATTATCTGGTGTATGGAACATTACTGGTTTTAATAACAACCAATAAATAGCATTTATTAAACATCCATGGTGTTTAGAACCTTCAGTTGGCCAGTCAGCATTTGTGTTGTTGGTGTCACTCCCAAAGCACCATTGAAAATGATTTTGAACCTCAGGAAGCTTACACTCCAGCATAAAAGTTGAGCAGCTGTGAAAAGGGAAAAGTCATACTTGGTGCAGTGAGGAGAAGATAAGCACAGAGGCAAGGAAGCTGGCCCCTTCTGTGGTGCTTGAGAGCAGGATCTCTGACATCAGGAAGAAAGATCTGTGATTGTCCTGCTTCTCTATCTGCTACCCAGGTGCCCTCAGACCAGCATGGAACTGCTCTATTCCCTCGTCCATACGATGGGGATAATGTTAGCACCCACCTCAAAAGTTTGTTGGAAGCTTTTAATGAAATAGTACAAATAAGATACGATGCCCAACATAGAGTAAGCACTCAATAAGTGCTTGTCTTTCTTGTTGTTGTTATCACTGGAGCGATCCCACCGAGGTGCTGCCTGGGAGCTGCCCACACCTCCTCCGGAGGGGAATTGCAAGATGCCCAGGCTTCTCCCATCCTTGAGCAATGCAAGGTGAGTCACGGCTACAAGCGCCTCACTCCGGCTCCAGGACGGCATGTCCAACTGGTAATGAGCCTCCATTGCAGCTGGGTTGGGGTGGAGCTGGGAGTGGTTGGCTAAGGGGAGGTGGGAAAAGAGGAGAGCCAATTTCTTTTTCTTGTGAATCTTTGTAAACTGAAGGCCTTTAGTGCAGTCTACAGAGCAGGTGTGTGAGTCCCCATTTGGAAGGTCCAGTGTCCTCTGCCCAGCCCCTTCCCCAGGCAGGAAGTATGCTCTCCTGCTCCTACAACCAGTTAGGGGAGGTGAGAGGTTGGCTTGGCCCCCAGAGATTCAGCTGAAGAGAGAGGGTGGGGTGTTCTTGCCCTGGACACCTACCAGATTCTCTGCAAATGAGGTCATTCTGGTTCTTCATGGTTGTCTGATATGGAGTTTATCAGAAAAGGGCGCCCTATCTTTACCCTTTGTTAACCATACCATAGCTGCCCTTTTCTGTGCTTTGTCAACACTAGATGGTATTTTTAGTTTTCTGTCCCTGGTATTATTCCAACCCTATGTCCTTGTGCCTTCCTTTAGAGCAGTCTTCCAGCCTACGAGCCCAGAGGGAGGTGTGCAGGGGAGGCCATATTCGGACGCACGCAACTATGGGGCCTTTAGCTACCTGTACAGTCCCCCCTGTTTGCTGCTGTCGCAGAATGTTCCCTTCGCTCTGTGGGCTCCTGAGCTTTCCTGGGCTGGTCTCATGCCCCTGCCTCTTAACTCTTGTTGGCTGCCTTCTGTATTTCAGGTGGTAGGGGAAGGCTGCTGGAGGGTGGGCGGGAGAAGGTAGGGACCTCCAGGACTTGGCAGCTCTCATTCACACAGGTCCATGTTTACTGCTCCTCTAATATCCTTCGGCTATTCCTTGTTGGTCTCTACTAGGTACTTCCTGGAGGCTTGTTTCTAGGGGAGGAATATGTGCAGGTCTCAGAAAATAGTGAGAAGCAGAGTGTGAGGGTTTTGGGGACATTGGCTGCTTCAGACCCAGCATCTGGATTTAGCTCAGGCCTGGTACTGCCAGCAGGTTTTCATATCAGGGCTCTGCTTAGAACCAACAGTGCCCGGGCTCCAAGCCCATACTCTTCTGCCCCCAGCATCGTCCCCACCTCCATTTCCCTAGATTGCTCACACACACATCACCCTTAGGCTGGTGCCCTGACATGTCATTCTTATCTCCATCTCCACGCCTAGCCTGTTTCCCAGGTTATACTTGAAAGATTACAAGCCTTAGTGCTGGTTTCATGCAGCTGCTTTTCCATCTACTAGTGTAACCTGTTATCTGAGTGAGCTTTTTCATTTAAAATACTTGCCTTGTAGCCCACTGGGACAATCAATTCAGTAATTACTTTTTGAGTACCTAATATGTGTTAGGCACTGTGCTCAGCATGGGGGGAGGGCACGTATGGACAGAGCACAAAGATTCCTGCTTTTGAATTTGGTTAAAGTTTTGGGAAGTTAAATGTAGGTCATTTCAAAATAATGGTAAATGCTAAGATAAAGGTGAACACTGGTGTCTTAGGAATACAAAGGAAGGGCAGGAATGCTTTTTGTAGTAAATGGTGGATGAGCTGTTCTGAAGGCTGGGGGAGGTGACCCATACCAATGTGGGGAGGTCGGGGGGCTCTTCCTGGACGAGAGCAGTGTGGAGGTATGAAAGTGCATGATGTGAGCAGGGCATAGCTAAAATGTAATGTTCAAGACAAGGGAAGATGGGCTGAAGCTGAAGAGTGACTAGGAAGGCCTTGTAGAGTTTGCCTGCCAAGAATTTAAAACTGTCTTACACGCAACCGGGCTTTCAAGCAGAAGATTGACATGCCAAATCTGGGTTTAGATGAATCACTTTAGTGATTATGTGGGGAGTAGATATGAGAGAGAAAAATTAGGAGTCCAATTAGGAAGCTCTTGCAATAGTCCAGGTGGGTGATGATGAATTATCACAAAATAGTCAGCAGGTGTAGGGTTAGAAGGGAGTGAAAAGATTTTAAAAATGAGGGCAGTAAAAAGAGCCAATCCTAGAGGTAGATTGAAGGAGAGGGTGGAGTTAAGGATGACTTCAGGTGTCTGACTTGCCTGGGTGGGTGGATGATGGTGCCGGTGATTAACATGGGGAACACAGGAGGAGCAAGTTTGGGGCAAGGGTGGAGATGACGAGTTCAGTTTTAGACAGGTATAGTGTGAGGTGCCTGGGTACTGTGCTAAAGGAGATGTCTAGCATGCAGTTGTATACACAACTCTGATGTTCAGGAAGGAGTCCAGGCTAGAGGATAAGCTTGTTAGTTGTCAGAATATAGGTGAAAGTGAACACTTCAATAGCAGATGCTTTTGCCCAGGAACCCCATGTGGAATGTGAAAAGCAGTAGTTTAAGGACTGATTGATAGGGAACAACTATGAGTAAGTGGTGCATGGAAGAGGAGTCAAGGTGGAGACCACACTGACCTAAAGAGGGTGGCATTACAGTCACGGGGGAGTAGACAGTTTCAAGAAAGAGAGAGTGAGGAATAGGATCAAATGCAACAGAAAAAAAGGATAGAAAATTATCCACTGAATTTGGCAATGGGAAGGTATTGATGATTCTTGACGGAGGGATGGGAATAGGGGAGTCAGAATGCAGTGGATTGGATTAGGAAGGAGAAGGTGAGGCAGTGGGGAGGGCAGGTATAGGTTTTAGTAGAGAAGAAAGAAGGAAGATAAGGTGGGACTGGGAGGACCAGGAAGGAAGGTTTTTGTGTGTTTTTAAATGTTGCAAAACTTGAGCTTACTTACTAGTATAGGCTTAAGCGGTAAGGTTATAGGATAAAGAGTGAAAACTGGCAAAGACAAGTTGCAAAGATGGAGAACACAGATGGAGGGGCTTGCCAGGGGTAGGAAGAAGGCCTTCTTCCTGGGAGACTGGGGAGAAGGAAATAGGAGGAGCCAAAGATTGCCAGGTGTTGTAGGGGGCGGGCCCAGAAAGTTAAGGTAGTTCTCAT